CAGAGTGAAAACACTCTTAGACCTCATGAGACTTTGAACAACTCTACTGAGGAACCGAGCTCTTGAAAAAGGGCCGAGAAAGGGCTAAGATTTCTTGAGTCCAATCAGATTAGCGGGTCGGTGTGAAGTAGAAACACTCTTAGACCTCAAGGGGACTTTGAGTGACTCTACTAAGGAACCGAGCTCATGAAAAAGGGCCGAGCAAGGGCCAAGATTTCAAAGAAGCTTAAGATCTTTTCTAAGTAAAAAAAAAAGTCCTTGCTAAAATACCGAGCTCTTTGAAAATGGGTCGAGCAAGGGTCAAGATTTCAAAGAGGCTTGAAATCTTTTCTAAGTATAAAATGGTTCCTGCTAAGGAACCGAACTCTTTGAAGTAGAGCCGAACAATGGCCAAAACTTCTAGAGCTACAAAAAAAATTTCAAGTATAAAAGGTCCCTGCTAAGGGAGTGAACTTTTCAAAGAAAGGCCGAATAGAGGCCATAACTTAATGAGTTGAAAAGCAAATAGTACTTAAAGCGTTTTTTGCATTCATACTTCAAAAATTTTCTACAAAGTTATGATCATTTGGGAGATACATCAGAAGTTGCAGATACGTTCAAAAAAGTATTCTGAGTACTTGAAGGAGCAGGAGAATGTGAGGAGCTCAGAATTGTATACCTTGAGAAGAGTTCAAAGGAAGGATCAACCTCGGTTGTAGTCAATGTAGCGTGCCAACCTCTGTTGAAGAAAGCTTCTTCTAGCTGAGGGATTTAAAGAGCTAAGTCATCCTCAGCTTTCTCCATGCCTTCATTATAAGTAGCATCCTCCTTCTCTTTAGCCTCGCCCTTGTACAAATCAAACTCCTCAAGGAGAATGGAATAGTCAAGTTGAGATTGGGAGAGCTCTACGATGATTTCATGCTCGGACTCCTTCAATCTCTCAACATCTAAAGAAAGCTTCTGGTTCTCCTCGATCAGGCTTTGGTTTTTAGCCTGCAGAACCTTCACTTCTTCGCAAAGTTTTGCGTACTCCTCATCCACGCTTTCCTTTTTGACCAGAGCCGAAGCTCGGGCATGGATAACGTCTTTCATTGCCTTGTCTTTCCGAGCTATTCGGGTTCCGACCTCATGGACTTTTTGTAGACCCTTATTAAAGAGGAAAAAGACTTATAAAAAATTTTAGAAAGAATAAAAAGCTTAAAGGAAGTCAGGATCAAGACTTACCAGGACCATGTGCTGAATTGGTTAACGAGACACTTCGTCGTCAATAAGTGCCTCATTCATTGCCAAATCCCTAGGCAAAATCACTCCTCGGGCAATCCCTACTGCAACATTAAAATCTTTTATTGCAGAGTCCTTGGCAGTGATTTCTCTCTTTTTTGCTCTAAGGATTGGTCGGAAAGGAGGATTGGTAGGCTCGGGAGGAAGGCTCGCTTCAGACTCGGCAGTCCTCCACCTTTTAGGGGCTGGGACTTCGGCGAGCTCAAAAATTGAATCATCTTCTTGAATTGGGGAGGGAATAGGTTCTGGAGGATCCATCTCAACATGAACAAAAGTTTCAGCAACTCGAGCCAAATTCGCTTGGTCATCCAAAGGCAGACCAACATCATTGGCTTCAGAAAGAATCACCTCAAGAAGAGCCTTGACAGTTGGTTCGTCAAGAACAGAGATCAAAATAGTTGAGGCAGATGGAGTCGGTTCAGTGGGAGGAGTCGGCTCAACTGTTAACAAAAAGTCTAAAAAATTCCTTATAGTCCTTCGTCTAGAGGCTGCTAGAGATCTCTTTTTTCCTCAGGGTGTCTTATCTTGAGTAGCTTGTATTGCCTCCCGATCTGCTGCAAACGTCGTATTAGGTCGGTTTGACACAACAATAAAGGACGTGTAGTTTGGTGTGTATCCGAGCAGCGTATGGGCAGCACGGTAGAACAAGGACTCGTTGAAATCCCAAACCTTCTGGAGCTGGTCCAACTTAACAGAAGATTCGGGATCTTGCCTTTCACCATCTCTCCTACATAAGCGATATATCAGATACAAGAAAAGAGAGAACAACGAACTTTTTTTTTGAGGAAAAAGAATGTTCAAATACCTGGTGCGCCCTCTTCAAAGGGGTAGCGATTAGAATGTGAGGCTCTGGCAAGGGTACTCCCAATTCCCAGAAACGAACACAATGTCATTTTCATGACCTTTGTTCGAATCTTGAAGATGGGTGACCAGATAGCGATCCTTCTTCTTCACCGAAAGATAGTAGTTGTCTCCAGCAGCTTCGATGATGTAGTAGTACAGGATATCCCATAGACCAAGACTCAGACCTAAAAGTTTGTTTAACACAGACACCCCCATGACTATCCTAAAGAAATTGAGGCAGCATTGGAGGGGACAGAGTTTTGTGGTAGAGAGAACCCAGAGAAGAAGAGGATCAAGGGGAAAACGGATTCCACCCTCAGTAATGGCACAAGTGGGGATGAGGATTCTCTCCCTGGTACCAATCAGTGGTTCATCTTTCCCAGCAGTCTTAACCTCGACGTCATCTGGAATATTGTATTTGACTTTGAAGGCAAGGACTTCTGATGGGGTAAAAGGAGCCATGAAGAAGATGAAGTGCAGAGGAAGAAAAACGCAAAAAGAAAAGAATAAGAGTCTAAGAGAACAAGAGTCTGAGAGTCTAGTAGCAGAAAAGCAAAAATACGAAGGAAGACGGTTATAAAGAAAGAGGAATTTTAAAAGGCAAACATTTAAATGCTCTGAATGTGCCGCCAAAACGAAAAGGCATGTTACAAAGTACAAGTAATGATGAATCGATAAGAAAATGGCTAACAGCCAAAAAACGACTGTCAGACATTTTCTAGGGGCAAATGAAGGGGTTAAACCTCATAATTACATGTGACATGGCATTAAATGCACTCACATGATGTTGACAAGACAAGGAATGTGATCAGGAATCCTCAATCAGAGCTTTTTAACCAAACCAAGCTAATTAGAGGTTCGACAATAGATGAAAAAGATCGGCTCTCTTTATGACCGAACTCATCAGTCTGTTCTGCTAAGCAATGAAAGAGCACAGCTGGTACCAAGCCAAGTTGGTCAAATTGTTCAACAAGGCAATTCAAGAGTCGCTTTGTGTCAAACCAAGTCCCTTAATCTGCTCAGTAAATTTCAAATGTGCTCGGCATTTGATATGGCCGAGCTGTTTTAGATAATAAACGGAAGGATAAAGATTCGTCTATAACTTAGGCAATCAAGATAAGCGAATCAGAGAAATTGAAGATATCAGGAGAAAATAATGCGGAAATATCAGCAACTTCCCAAACCGAATCACTGAATTGGAGAAAGGTGTGTCACCTTGAATCAAGAATTACAGAAACCCTAAGGGGATGCCTAACTATAAAAAGCAAAAAGAGCCAAAAAGAAAGGTACGCTGAATTCTCCTTGACTTAGTGCAATTTTTTATGTTCGATTACTGACTTAAGCATTGGAGTGCCTTCGATCGAAACACTTCGATCTTGGACAGTTTGTTCGTTTTACAGGAAGGAGATTAGGAGATTGTTCAGACTTCTTTCCCAGAGACCCTATCTCGAATTTACGTGTAAAGGTATTGCCAATTTTTTGCCTCTACAATCTTCATTCAATATATACTATTAGCTTCTTCTATACACTGTACTTTTTATTGCTTCTGAATTCTAAAAGAAGAGAGAAACCCCTATAATTCCTTCGCTTGAAGACACAAACTTATGCCATGAGTACTAGAATTTGATAAAGGAATGGGGAGATGGAGATATTTAAAGCTTGATGGTAATCATACAAAAATATAAACCTGCTACATGAAAGCACCTATTAAAAAAGAACAGGGACTCGATTAAAGGACTCTTACAAAACTTATTTCAGACCTACCCCTATGCATTCTTCTAAGGCTCGAACTAGTCACTAAGTAAGAGATCTCTAAAGCACGAAGTATTCCCAAAAATTTTCAAAATCATAGTTTGGACAACTGCCCCCATTGCCCCCACTGTGGCTCCGCCATGGGCCACATTAAGCATGTTTGACATTCAAATTTTATCATTGAAAGCATATTTGATAAACACACTTTCGTAGTAAGAGCGTGTCATAACTTGGTAAATAAGTTTAAAACGTTAGATTTGTTTTTAAATCAAGATAGATGTATACTTAGCTCCCGCTAAAAAAGACTCAGGAACCAGATTTTAATGTCACATGATTTGGGTCATAAAGTGTAATACTTTGAAGTCCAACGATATATTTTACTGTAATAAACTATGAATGGTCTCTCGTTATCAATTTGTCATATCCTTGCATAAGGTTGCCATCTATAGTGGAATTTGAGGAATGTAAATAATAGATTGATCATTTTGGAGAGATTAATTTTCAAATTTGAATTGGGACATATAAGGTGAGTTTATGAACATTTGTAATTCGTATCAGTAAATCGAAAGTTTGATAATTCTACAAAGTTTTATGTTATTCAAATCTCATGTCAATGGATGTTGAAAGTTTTGAATGATCAAACGTTATCCAATGGATTGTTCTCAAGACCAGGCTTGTTTTAAACGAATGATCAACGGATAGATTTTTCAATTGGTTTTCTATCCCAGATAAGTTTAAGTGACAACGGTATCCTGTACAGATAAGCTCAGAAATCAAGCTTCACAAATGACACAGTTTCAAGTTATTCCTCTTCACACGCTGAAAATCCTGTCAACTCCCAGCCAATTTGAGCCTTCCATTCTCTTACTATGTTTATTGGTTCAGAATCAGGGTTTATTTGCACTCAAAATAGAAGATAACCCCATGCACTTGCATGTGACTTCATAAAAAAAAGGCCCAGTGCTTGAGTCGCTAGTTACTGCGAGGTTCGAAGAAGATCAGATAAATGCAACATTATCCCGCATTTGGAGAGGCCCTTTCCGTATCCCAAACTTTTGATATCCAGGTCACAATAAAATAATCTAATTGCTATATCAAGACCGAACACAATTTTATATATAATAATTAGAGGTCAGTTCTATTTACAAAACTTATGAGGTTTTAAGTCCATGCCCTAAACATATTTCCTATATTATAATGGCAATAAATATTATGTACTTGTATCAAAGCAGACCCTTTGTGGGGGGGTATTAGTTGCCATTTCACAGCTCTGTTAAATAGACACCATATGTTTCTCAATGTCATAAATTGAAGAGACATAGGGATTTATTGAACAAACATTACAAAAAAGAAAAAAGAAAAAAACTCAACCAGTGTTCTGCATTCCAGCAGCAATACCCTTCATGGTCAAGATAAGAGTGTCTTCCAATCCAGGAGCATACTCGCTCGTAGGATTAAGCTTCACGAGCTCAGCAGCCGGTTTGCTCGATTCCATGATCTCCTTTGACAGAGGGGGCTTCACCTTCACATTGTAGCTAGGATCACGGATCTGCTTCAATGTGTAGGCCTGGCACACGTTAAGGGTGGTTATGTACGCATCGCGAAGCCGGAGTCTCTGCCTCAAGTATGGGTCTCCTTCAAGGAGATCTTTGTGCCCAGCAACCTACAAAAAACAGGGATAAAAAAGAATTAAGGTTCCATATTTTCTCAGATTACTGTCACCACTTCATTTAAATGAAAAATGAAACGGGAATTTGGGGCAACCCTAAAAACTTAGTGTTGCAAATTTTTTATCATGCAAACAAAATATCTTTATGAAATTGACCCTTCTCCAGCCTATACTCAAGTCCTTGTTTATTCTCATTGAGATATTTTTAAATGATTTTATCCACAATTTAGACCCATCAGGAAGATGGTTTCCAAGTTGGGCAAGCATTGTTGCACATCCTTAGTTTTAAACAAAGTAAATGGACAATAAATCTGCCCAATCAACCCATTGATTAGTATCTAGGGAAAAAAATGAAAACTCCATGAAAATTCTGGTGAGATGTCCTACATGTTTTCAGTTATTTATTAACATTACTCTCACAATTTTCCTCTTTATTACCTGAAGGAGAAGGTTCTTAGTGTCTTCATAATCAGCCCTTAAGCGCTCTCCAAATGGCTGCAATTCCTCTGAGACCAGGAGCTTGTCATACAAGGCAGCAATCCCTGGGTCTCCCTTGGCAAACACCATCTCAACCAAGTCAATTGTCACTCTAAAGAAAGGCCACTCATTGTACATCTCCTTAAGCATTTGGAGATTTCGTGCATCTTTTTCAATGACATGCCTAAAAGCAGCCCCAAATCCAAGCCAGACTGGGAGATGAAAACGCGTCTGGGTCCATGCAAAGATCCATGGTATTGCTCGGAGAGATTCAATTCCACCACTAGGTTTTCTTTTTGATGGACGACTGCCAATGTTCATGCGACCATACTCTAACTCTGGTGTTGCCTGCAGAATTTAAAAAACAAGAATATTACCTAAATTGTAAGCCTACCTTCATAGTGGAAATAATAAAAACACTAATAAAAGCTAGAGATGTAAGAACTAGTCATTCCTGAATTACTCACTATCTTAATGCTATTCAAATTTTATTCAAGAAGTTGTGAACTAACCTGCATAAATCTTTTTTGAAGATCATTAATTAAAATTTGTAATTTTCCGAAATTGGAGGACTATGCTCCAAGGGGTTGAGAGTAGTCAGAGGACATAGACGATGGAAAGACATGAAAGATACTCACAAGACGGAAATATTCAACAAATCGAGGTTCTTGGAAAACTATGTAACGATATTCCTTTGTAGCAACGACTGCCATCTCATCCATGAGTTCACGCCATTCTGGCTTTGGCGAGATGGGGGGATGCATCCCATGCTCAAGTGTAGCTGCTGTGAAACGTTGCAGTGTTCTAAAACACAAGTGTTCCTCTCCAAATGACTGTTCAATTACTTCACCTTGAACAGTCACACGAAGGGATCCATTAATCGTGTCAGGTGGCTGGGATAATATAGCAAGATGAGTAGGACCACCTCCTCTTCCAACTGTCCCTCCTCGGCCATGAAACATTGTAAGCTTCACCCCATATTGTTTTGCAACTTTTATAAGCTCCTCTTGAGCCTTATATAATTGCCAAGCTGCAGAAAAACGGCCAGCATCCTTGCCTGAATCTGAGTACCCAATCATGACTTCTTGCTTTCCATTGATCCGGCGTGTGTACCAATCTATTGAGAAGAGGCGAGCCACAGCAGCAGGTGCAGCCTCGAGATCCGCAAGTTTTTCAAACAAAGGAACAACCCTTAATGGAGTCTTGACACGGCATTCACGCTGTAAAAGCTCGACGGCAAGCACATCAGATGGAGCAGTTGCCATTGAAATTATGTATGCCCCAAAGCTATCTGAGGGGAGTTCAGCAATGACATGAAAGGTGTCTAACACATCAGCAATTTCTTCGGTTTTGGGAAGATCGGGGCCAAACAGAGGGCGCTTTCCGCCAAGTTCAGATAAGAGCCACTCCTGCCTGCGTTCCTCCGACCATTCTTTGTAGGATCCAATCCCTAGGTGCCTTGTGATAGCATCTAAGACATCAGTGTGTCTATCTGACTCCTGTCGGATATCAAGTCTCACAAGTGAGAGCCCAAAGGTGGAAACTTGCCGTAAGAAATCAAGAAGGCTTCCATCAGCAATCGGTCGATCGCCACAAGAGCAGAGCGATCTGTAACAAAGCTCAAGAGGCTCCAGGAACTACAGGCACAAAGATTGACAATCAACATCTTGTGATATATGTACATATATTACATGATATTAAGTATAAGGGGAGTTGTGGATTGTCTAAGTTGGCTATGAGGTAGTTTTTGGGTTTTCATTTGAGCTAATAAAATTCGGAGAAACATGACTGCATGGAATTGAAACCACATCAAGAATACCAAGATAGCAGAGGTAGGGTTGGGGTTTGTCCAGACCACATCATAAGCTAAAGCCCCCATGGATTTGCCCGGGTTCAGGCCATACACAAAATTTCACTGCTAGTATGGTGTTATTGTCTCTAACATAAGAAGAGCCTATAACCACATATTCCTTTGCGACTTAACAATGCCAACGGGAGTGAAAGACTGAATGCTGGACCATATGACTACTCAAACGAGGATACAACATTGTCCAGGTATACTCACCCTCTACCTCCCTACCTCCAAACGAGGAAAAAACAGCTTGTTGATTATCACTACACTATATGTAACACATGTATCATTCTCACCACGAGAAAAGGATTTTGTTATATAACTGCAGTAGAGTTGCAAATCATTTAATATTGGTATGCAGAAGAGAGTTTCTTAGACCAATAGACCTGCTCAACATTAGTGAAAGTTGTCTCCTCAGGAATATCAGAGATCCCATTGGCTAATATATGACGAGCACGTTCACGTGTATTATACAGCTTGTCTCTCACATCACCAAGAATAACACGATAAGGCTCATTTGGAGGGACTTGTTTCCAAAACTCTGCAAAAATAAACAGTGAATATCAAGACAATAAATAATACTTCGTGCCACTATTTCTACAATAAACTTCTTTAAATAAAATCTTTTTAGCGGGAAAGACAAAAAAATAAGTTAAGTATTTCAATAAAAGTATTTTAATAGCACCCAAGCTTAGCAATCTCAAGAAAAAAATAAGAAAATTGCTTGAGAAAATTGCATATGAAGGCTCCACAAGTAGGAGGTATTTATGATTTGGTAAATTATAGAGAACTGACTTCTGAATACTGTTGCTGTTTAGATTCAGGGAATAATTAAACAATTTTCAGCCTTCATTCAAATGTTAACCCTTAAGATAGAAGGAGAAACAAAAATTCAAAACCATGAATAAATACCAATATAGTGTTTTGCATCCCTCTTTGAGGACCTATGAAGTTCATCAGCACGAACACGGAGTTCATCATTGCAGCGCCACATTGAAAGCTGCAAAGAATAGTACCAGTACCACAAATAAAAAGGAGAACATAAGGATCTTGAAAATCCGGGAAACATTACAAAATGATTTACAAAGAGAAGAAGCCAAAATGACAAGTTTGAGAGCCAAACGAATCATTTCGTTCATTACCTCGAACATAAGATCCTCTATCTGGGAAAAGTACAAGTTAGCAACCATCATTCTAGCTAATAAGCACACATCCCTGGTAACTTCAGGAGTTACCCTTGGGTTTCCTGCAGTCCATATCACAATATACTTAGGCTGCAAATTGCAAAAGAATTTAGAACGCATGCACAGATACCTAACTGGCTAACTTTGACATGTATTCTGTGCAAACACCATAGCATGTAATTAAATAAAAAAATTTCCATCTCTAAGTAAAAATCCTACAAAAGAAATTCAGCTGCAACATTTGTTGCTTGTATGGACTAGAGCCTTAGTATCAGATGCAGGTACGTGCATTAGTGCCAGATTAGGCTAATCGCCAGAGACATGAGGACAAGATAGATGTGGAAGTTCCACATTTCTCTATCCATGACTAAGGCAATATAAAGTTTATATTAGGGAACAACATGCTTTTCCATCCAAATTAAAGCATTCAAGAAACACATCAAACAGAAAACTCCATTCAAAATGAAGGCTTGTCCTTCCAAGTGTCGTTTTCAATGTAACCTAGTATTCGCACATATATAATCTTGAGAGAGGTAGAGATGGTTACATAGAGCCTATTTGGTTTGCGTATCAACAAATAGTATCGAAAAATAATTTTTGAGAAGAGTTTTAAGAAAATGTGTTTTGATATTTTTATATTGCAAAACCTATTTGATTATATATTTTTAAAAATAGTTTTAAAAAACAAAAAATTAAAAACCTGTTTGGACAATTATCCACAGACCCCCCAATTTTCATCTCCATTCTCTATCTTTCCCGTCTCTCTTTCTCTCCATTTTCTCCGGTCAATCTCCACCCACATAACACACACAGCCATTCGCTAGAGAAGAGCAGATCTGAAGCAACCCAGTTGCTTCGATTCGCCAGAGTTCTTTCGCTTCGATACACAGCCGTTGGAGTTGCTTCGATTCACTGGAGTTCCTTTGCTTTGTTGAACTTGCTTATTGCAATCGACTGTGAGAGAGAGATAGAGAGAGGGGCTGAAGGAAGCTATCGGGCTCAGAAAAAAAAGATGTTTTTATATGAAGGATTTAATGAACAGTAACATGTTTTCTGTGTTTTCAAAATTTTCGCAAAATAACTTGAAAACAAGCTTCTGTTTTTATGCTCCAATTCCACTTTTTTTCAAAAATTGGAGAACAAAAATTCAAACCAAACATTGTTTTTAGAGTTTTGAGTACAAAAAAAAAAGTTTTGAAGAATCAAACCAAACGGACCCATAGTTTTCACTCTGTTCTATTTTCTTCTGCATCTCCTCTCTTTCTTCTTCTTAGTCACACCTCATGTTGAAACATCCTCTCTTGTAGCAAAATATCTTCTGCTTCTGGTCTCATCTCTCGGGGCATCTGGGTGGCCATTCTTTTAGTTAAATGTCAAAAATATTTTCTACATGATGAATGGAATGAGGAAATTTGGGTTTGTTTCTCAAGGGAGTCTAGTCAGGTATATTGTTTGTTAAAAGTTATGTATGGCCCAAGGGGGCTTTGTTCGGGAAGTTTAGTGGAGCAGGTGATATTGTGATCACGGATAGTGACTCTGAAGGTATTCCTGAACTTAAAGCATTGCTGCAACAAAAATTTCATTCCAAACAGCTTGGAATGTGACGTAATTTTTTTGGAATTGAAGTGTAGGTTCAAAAATTGCAATATTTTATCGTGACACACAAATGTTTGAATACCTTGCTGAAATGGGGATACTGAGACAAAATTAGTTGACACTCCCATAAAATACAAAACTGACTGCTGAGTAGTTGTTTATCATTCAAAAGTGTGTAGCAGATTAGCGGGTAAGCTGAATAACTTGGCCATCATTAGACCAGATATGTCATTTGCATTTAGTGTTGTCAATCACTCATGGAATCTCCCATCAAACCTCAATGGCAAGCAATTATCCGAGTTCTTAGATATCTAAAGAAAGCTCCAAGTCATGAATTTTTGAACAAGACTTAAAGACATTTACAAAGGCTTTACATTTGCAGATTTGGTCTGGTTTTCAAAACGATAGAAGATGTAGTAAAACTGTACAGGATATCCCATATTTCTTGGAGGAAATTTGATTACGTGGAAAAGCACCTGATACTGAGCTGAGGTGATGTATATGAACTAGGGCTCACACTGTGTGTATTGTCATGATCAAAGAGATTGTACATGAACTTGGGTTCCAGATTGACCTACCCAATGCATTTGTTTTATGATAATCAAGTTTTTTTTTTTTTTAAATTGGTTCCAATCAATCTTTCATGAAAGACAAAATATATTTGATGTTGACCGCCAGTTTGTTTATAAAAAACTTCTAGTTTCAGATATTGTTATGTGCATTGTTCGCTCAAAAGATCAACTAGCTAAGTTGTAGTATTATTCAATATTTGTAGTGCAGCCTTTGACTTAATATCTGATATATAGAAATATACGACAGAGAGATGATTAAGTAATTTTTACTCAGTTTTCTTCTCTTTTGCATCTCCTCTCGTTTGTCTTCTTAACCAAACTCTAATCACACCTTAATATCTCCATGTCAACAAAACATAAATTCTTAATCCACCGTATCAAGTTCCAAACCAGTATCTCATGTTAAAGTATTTTCAAAATAAGAACTTTTTTTGGTGGTTATTTTTGAAAAACTCAGTGACTTTTGAGAGAAATTGGAAAGGTGTAAAATAAAATTGGCATAAAAGGCTACATTTCAAAGTTAGTGACTTTTCGCAAAAGATACTAATCCAAATGATTACAGCCTTTCATAAAGTCACCATTAACACCTTTTAGTTAAAAGACACCATTACAAATGGTCACAACTATTCAAAAAGTCAGCTTTGATGTCTCTTGGACTAAAAAAATACCATTTCATAGTTATACCCTTTCATATTGGACTAAAAAAATACCATTTCATGGTTATACCTTTTCATAAAGTCACCATTGATACCTTTTGAATCAAAAGTCACCATTTATACCTTTTGAATCAAAAGGCACGATTATAGATGGTTGCACTCTTTATGAAAAGCCACTAGTGAGTCTATAAATAGGTGATGTCCTGCACTCCCAAAATATACCATTGAACAATTTTATACTTCCTACTAGAATTGTTCTTTCACACTTCTCTTTCAATTCTCCCAAATTCACATACATCTATTGTTTTCCATTTAATCTTGTTCTCTAGTTTCTGCAGAGTTAGAATTGTTAAGTATTTTCAAAATAAAAACATTTTTGGATAGTTATTTTTGAAAAACTCTTTGTAACTTTTAGGAGTAATTGGAAAGGTGTGAAATAAAAATGATATGAAAAGCTACTAATTCAAAGTTAGTGACTTTTGCCTAAAGACACTAATCCAAATGATTATGTCATTTCATAGAGTCACCATTAACACTTTTTAGTTAAAAGACACCATTACAATGGTCACAACTTTTCATAAAGTAACCTTCAATATCTCTAAGACTAAAAAGTACCATTTCATGGTTATACCTTTTCATAAAGTCACCATTGATACCTTTTGAATCAAAAGAAACTATTACATATGGTTGCACTTTTTATGAAAAGTCACTAGTGAATCTATAAATAGGTGATGTTTTGCACTCCCAAAATATACCATTAAACAATTCTATACTTTCTACTAGAATTGCTCTCTGATACTTCTTTCTCTCCAGTCTCCCAAATTCACATATACTATTTTCTATTAAATCTATATTCTATTACTAATATGAGAAAAATCTCGTATTCTATTTCTAGTATAGAATTGCTCTCATACTTCTTTCTCTTCATTCTCCCAAATTCACATACATCTATTATTTTCTATTAAATCTAGTATTCTATTTCCTACAAAGTCAAAATACTAGAAGGTGACTCCTTGATTTTCTTTTGGTATTTGAGTACTGTATTTGTAAGTGCAATAAGCGGACAGATTTGAGAAACTTCATTGTATCTTGAGAACAAATTTGTGAAATTCCCGGTACGCACCTTTCTAAACAACTGGTGGGGGCAAATACTATTTTTAGGAAAGTCTTCTTGTACATGACTTGAAAGAATTTTTAGTGTTGCAGTGCAATTACTACAATCAAGTTTTCAACAAAGTGACGACCCGATAGTTTTTATTCAACATCTCAGGCATATTGAAGTGCTCATGTAGTAGAGGATGTCAAACTATTATAACTATTATCCATGATGTACCCTCCAATTCCAATATTTTGGTAGTTTTGCTTACGTTTGGGGCTTCCTAGCATGTTAGGAACTAACAAACAGATGCAAAAGAATATGCTCAAGAATAGATCGCCACTTAAGAAAGACCATACCATCACGATCCCCACCCATCCAAGAAGAAAACTGAATAAGAGGGGCATTGTAAGGAACACGTTCATTTATCCCCAAATTCTTCAAAGCGGTGTCAACACGGCGTAAGAATTTTGGCACTCCCTTCCAAATTGTCTCATGAAAATAACTCATTCCTGCCCTCATCTCATCTTGTGGAGTCGGAGGGGACCTCCTGATTTCATCTGTGCGAAATGCAGCTTGGATCTAGAGAATAAGAAAAAGTAGAAGTTTGTCACAAGCAAAAGGGTAACAGCAAAAAGAAAGGAACACACACACAAAACAAAGAAATTAGCACAAAATTCTCAGGTTCCTTTTACTATTATAACACTATAAGCTTAAAAAAACTTCAAAGCACACCGGAAATAGAAGATGAAGCATGGTGGTGTTCCACAAGCCAAATAAATGAATAAAAATGGATCGATAGTTTTCTAGTTGTAGAAATGCAAGAGAAGGATTTTTTTTGTTTTATTTTTTTACATTTTAAATAAGTAAAATAAACAAGTGCAGAGTTTATTAAGAATTAAAATATTAAACGAGTTGGGCTAGACCAGCTATATTCATGAACAGCAAGATCTAGATCAGATACAACTCAAATTAACAAAATTGAAGCACAGTTATCGGCGATAATCATCAAATCCAATTCTATAAGATAGCTTTGGACAATAAATTATTTTTGGACAAGTTCAACCGGCAAAAGACTTGACAATAAAATGATCTATGAGCACCAAGCGATATATTGTGAAGTCATACATTGTCATAAGCCCATAATGGATAATTTAGAATTCCTAACAGTTCAAAGAAACTGCATAATTATCAAAAGCAATACTAGAAAGTATGATGTTAAACGTGAATATGCTAGTCAATGAGAGAATGGAGGGAGGATAGGAAAGGAATGGGAACAAGGTAGGGTATGTGAATCCATTTTTGTAGTGACTATACATGCAGTTTAACAGTCTCCTAAATTTTTCCTGCTGAAAGGAACCCTAACTTGAACATGTTTCCAATGTCACCCTTTGAATGTTGCCACATATATCAAACTTAAATCCTATATATACCTTGTACTTTACAGTAGGTTGCGTCAAAGAAAAATTAGGACAAATTCCATTTTTAACTCATGATTTGATCCTATAACATTTCAACCCCTATAATTCAAATATAGCCACCTAACCCTCATGTTGCTTTGAACCATCTGATTACTTAACACCATTAATGATTACAGTCACCTAACCCTCATAGCAACCACAGAAGCCCCACTTCAAACCCACAACCATATTTTCCCATACCAAAAGTCATATTTTCATTCAACTTTGTTAGCAATGTTAATTAAGGACCAAGTCAAACAAAAATCTCGCCGGTTGTATTTGTTCATTGATTGATCATGATATGGATTGCAAGGACTATTGAATAATGTTTTGTGGTAGAGCACATAGCCTATTTCAAGCCCAAAATTTTGGGGGTCGAGGTGATGGGAGTATTTTGTGGTAGTGATGGTTAGGGTGTGGTGATTTGGTTTTTATGAGATGGAGAGAAAGGTAGTCCGGCTACTATGGGGTGCCATTAGAGAGAGAGAGGGAGGAGAGATACAAAGAGATTTGGTTCGTACTTCATAGAAAGATGGAGTAGCCTAGTATAGGAAGGGGAGGGGGCATGAGTATTTTTGCCTTTTTGAGAAAATGCAAAGGTACTTATTTAACCATATTACTTCAGTATGAATTTTTTAAATTCAAATTGCTAAAGAGGCACAACACACTTACCATCATTTGGACGGAATGGATAAACTTAACAAAATAGATCAAAACTATATGATCGCTATATAGGCATATTTTGAACCATATGGGAGAAAATGTTCCACGGTAAAACCACAAGGGGTAAAATGTAATTTCCCCTTGTATATGATGTTCCATAAGATGTTTTAAGTCTACCATGATCATAGCAATAACAACTAAGACCTAACAAGCACGGATATGGACATGGACACGGGACACAAATATGACATAACATGAACATGCAGATACAACACTTCTTCAAAAAGTATGATACGAATACGTTGGAGACACGCTACAGATAATTACATGTTATATATAATATTACATAATTTGTTGCAAATATAGTGATAATGATATCTTATTCATAAAAAATTCAATACGTTATAATAAGTAAATGTTATGTCTAGTCATCTATTGTGGAGTTTTAGACGTGTATCAAACATACATAGGTTAAATGATTGTTCTCATTTGCTCTATTCCTCTTGTTTGAAACTTTTATGCATCTTTTGCATTTATTATTATATTTTGAGTACAACTTTAACATGTCTAGTCGTAATAATTATATATTCTCTTATAGATACCCATTAGTTAAATTTTTAAGCATCATTAGTCACAAGTCAAGTATCAACCATGATTATTACTAAGTAGTAGACACGGTCTAAAGAAGTATTGTACACGAGTCCAAATTTAAAATTTTATCATTTAATTATGAACACGGATAAAAGAGTATCGAACACGTGTCTGGGGAGGGTCATGCATATTATGGTTTTGCCAATTGTGTTTTCCCACCAGTACCTCACTAATTTTATCAGCTTATTCCTCTCCAGGAAAGGAAAATATTTCAATAGTGACAAAAGCATGTAATTCTCAGCTTTTAGCAGTTCTCCAAATGCTAAAAAAAAAAAAAAAACCCTCTAAAGGAATATGTAGTGTTCCACAAAGAGTAACAAAGTAATGAACTCATTAAACTACATACCTCTCTTTGTAAAGCCTCATCAAGCTCCTGCTTATCATCAGGTGTGATGTCTTTGGCATATAACTGAGTCAAGCAATTCCGAATCCTGCAAAAGTTATAGTAGAAGAGCTAAATACCTAGTACAAATTGTGGAGGGGTTGAAACAATAGGGATAAAGAAGGGCCCCGGGGGCCGAGAGTGGGGAGGGATAAAACACTAACATGTTCTTAGTTGGATCAAATTGTAAACTCGGCTGATAAAGAGTTAAAAGCTCACAGTCCATTTACAGAATAGACAAATTGGAAAACCAGAGGGTTGTTATCTCGTTGTACTACAGATTTTAAAACAACAGTCACAAACCTTCCATGCTTTTGAAGCAAAGATCTACGGACAGACTGAGTAGGATGTGCTGTAAAGACCAAATCTACCGTCTGGTTCTTCAAAGCATCAAAAACTTCTTCTGGGGACTTCTTCAATTGCATCACAAGCCTCTTGACAGTCTCTTCGATATCTGATTCAGTTGTTGCAGAGGCCTCATCAGCAAAATCACCCTTCTTTAACTTAACCCGGCGTCTGTAGGCTATCTGAACCTCTTCAGCCAAGTTGGCTAGGTTAAGCATGTTGGAAAAAGCCTTAGCAACAACAATAGAATCCCCAGCATCCAAACTAGTAAGCACTCTCCCAAGGTCCTCCAGTTTTTGGAGGTCATGCTTCCCTTCATACTCGGCAGAAAGTTCATAAGATTCTTGAACCTAATCCATTGTACCAGATAAGGAAAATTACGCTTTCTATTACTATTTATGTATGGAACAAATTGCACCCAACCAAGAAGCTGGAACCCAACTAAACACCAGTATTCCCACCAAAATCATATTCTTTAACCGAAAGAACAGAAGAAGGAATTAGCAAACAGCAGATTATGAGGATTACAAAGTTCATTCCATTTAATGAAAGCATACAATGCTAAACAAGAAAGTAAAGCAGCATAGCTTTTAGGGTTAATCAAAGCAAGTATCCCGGTAATGAACAAAATGCAAATTAGCAAACCTTTAATTGAAATTAATGGAAGAGAGTAAGTAATCAGGAAGTAGATTTGCATTATCTTGCGATAGTAAAAAGAAGGTATCTCTAAAAAAAATCCACAACACCAGAATTTGTATATTATACATACCTAACAAAAGAACAGAAATCAGAAACAAAAGCAGGCAAATTGGGTATTGCCTTTGTATCTGTACGTGTGTCTGAGAGTGTGTAAGTGGAAAGTGAGGATCTTTAGAAACCCAAAATGAGCAATTTAGCAGACAAAATTCTCAAAACTAAAAAAAAAAAAAAATATATCGTCAACAAACAATAAAAGCCCAATAAATAACACTAACACAAAAAATCCGCACAATTTCAGCCAACTAAATGTTCTTTGAACGTCACACACACACCAATACGTTTGTATGAAATGGAATAAACACCAAATTGGATTTCCAAAAATCAGCTATCTTGCCCATTCATACCTTATAATTAGCAAAGCATTAACTGTATTACCCAATTACCACATGATCAGCCTCAAATTAGCTAGCTTTCCAATTTAAACCACTTAATTAGGTTAGACACAAGCTAAAAATAAAGTCAAGTCGTTCAATAATTGAAGAAAATAATTCGAACCCATTACCGTTTCTCTGATATCCTCTCCATGCAAGTCCTGAAGAATATCTAGAAATCGATCCAACAAGAGAGCATCATACTCCACCAGCTTGTCATCTTCAGAAACCTTCCTAGGTGCCAATTGTCTCAACTGTGCATCAATTGATGCCATTTTTTCTATATTTTTCATGGCCATTTCTCACTCCCTATTTGATGACTTAGCTCAGTGGTTTCAGAGACTTTTCCACCAATCAAAGAATCTACCAAAAAGCACACGAGAATTTGAAATGATTTGTCAACCACAATCACGGATTGAATTGGGTTCTTCTAGCAATATCAGCATCAAGGAACTGAACCCCAGAAGTCTCGAGATCAGTAGAACTATAGGGAGAGTAGAAAGATAAAGAGGATCAATGAACTGTTGAATCTCGTGATGCTCGTTTAAAGATGATCAAAGAAGACGGAGTTTTAATGGTCACACCGCGATAAAAAAGAGGGGAACCTTGTGAAAGATCAGAAGATTATTGATCAATAGAGACTTGAGATTATGTGCCTATTTGCGGTGCCGGGGGGGGGGGGGGGGGG